AGGTCGGGGAGAGGGCAACATTAAGCCAAAAGCTGGAAGCAGTCTTCAATTTCGGGCTTTTAGCTAGCTAACAAATTAGTGAGCCAAGAATTTGTTTCCTTTTCTTTCTTTCTTTCTTTCTTTCTTTCTTTTAACTTGCAAGCTAATGAGGAAATCTCCTCCCTCAAATTCAGAGCTAGCTGACAAGCTAGTGAATCCCTGACTCCGTGGTGGATTGCTAGCTCTTCGGTTGGCTCAGATCCACCCTAGTTTGAAAATGCCTTAGATAGCAAGCTTACGCTTACAAGTAAATCATTTGGGAGACCATCTTAATTTTTTTTTTTTAATTTTAGAGATGAGGTCTTGCTCTGTTGCCCAAGTTGGAGTGCAGTGGTGCCAACACAGCTCAACGAAGCCTCAGAACTCCTGGGCTCAAGTAATCCTGCTACCTCAGCCTCCAAGTAGCTGGAAATACAGGCCTGCACCACCAGCTTCAGCTAGGGTTTTGGGGGTTTTTTTAATCATTTTGGCTGCAAAACCCAGACATTAATCTCTTCCCGGTTCTTTCTTTACCTTTGTTTCTCACAAGGATTGGATTGCAAATTGGTCATGTAAGAGGCATAATAATAGCCAACCTTGACAGAGTGCTTACTATTTGCCAGACTGGGTTTTAAGAGTTTTACACATATTAACTCATTTGCTCCTTGCCACAGTTCTATGAAGTGGGTACTATTTTCCTCCCCAATTTACATAGGAGGAAACCAAGACACAGACATTAGGTAACTTGTTCAAGGACAGACAAGAAGAGGGCAACTTGAAATGTGAACCCAAGCAGTCTGATTCCAGAGCCCATAGTCTTTTCGAATTCTAATTGTAAACATTTTATGGAACAACAAACATACAGAGAAGTGCATAAGTCCTAAGTGCACAACTCAAGGAATTTTGAGAGTGAACATAACCCAGTACGGAGGTTCACAAGGATCAAGAAACAGAACATTAGCAAACCCCAGAGGTCCTGCCTGCTCAGGGACAGTCCCTAGCTCCCACCCCAAGGTGACTACTGTCCTGACTTTTAATACCACAGACCACTTTGCCTATTTTTAAACTTTGCGTGAGTCTAATAATACAATATATACCCTTGTGTCTAGCTTCTTTTCTCATGTTTGTGAGATTCACCCGTGGTGGCAAGTGGCAACAATGCTCTTGTGCTTGTTGCTGTACAGCATTCCCTGTATGATTACCTGACAATGCTTCCATTCTACTTTTGGTAGACAGTTTGGTTATTTCCTGCTGGGCACTATTTCAAATAGTGCTGCTATTTGTCTTTTGGTAAATATATGTGTGCATTTCCATTGGGCACATATTTAGGAGAATTGTTGGGTTCTATGATATTATGTATATTCAACTTTGGTAAATACTGCCGAACAGTTTTCCACCAGCAGAATATAAGGGTTCCAACTGCTCTACATCTTTGCCAATTCTTAGTTGTCTGTTAATTTTTTTTTTTTAATTTGAGCCATGCAGGTGGGTGGATTGTAGTATCATATTGTAGCTTTAACTTCATTCCCATTTTGATATCTTTTTTGGGGGAATGTTCTTGTTCAAGTATTTTCCTCATTTTTCTCCTGTGTTTTGGGCTTTCTCTTATTGAGCTGTAGGAATTCTTCATTCTTGATACGAATCCTTCCTTAGATATATGTATTGCAACTATCTTCTACTTTGTGGTTGGCCTTGTCACTCTCTTAATGGTGGTTTTTAATGGACAGAAGTGGAGTTTTTTTTGCAGCTTTATTGAGATATAATTCACATATCATACAATTCACCCATGTAAAGTGCACAAATCAGTGGTTTTAGTATATTCACAGAGCTGTACAATCATCATCACCACAATCAATTTTATAATATTTTCATCGCTCCAAAGATAAATCTGTTCCCATTGGCAGTCGCTTTCCATGTCCCTCCAACCTATCCTCCCCCAGCCCTGGGCAATCTGCTACTTTCTGTAGCAGTTTTTTATTTTAATGCAGTCTAATTTATCAAATTTTTCTCCTTTTAATTAGTACATTTTGTGATCTATTTAAGAAAATTTTGCTTACTCCAAGGTCATGAAGATACTCTCCTATGTTTTCTTATAAAACTATTATTATTTTACCTCTCACATTGAGCTCTACAATCCATTTGGAATTAACTTTTTGAATATCCAATTTACCTGTCATCATGTATTGAAAATAAGTCGGGGGACTATATACACGGAAGTGTTTTTCTGGCTTCTCTATACCATTCTGTCAGTCTGTCTATCCTTGGACCAATACCACACTGTCCTAACTGCTGTAGTTTTATGTCACATCTCCACATCTGACAGTGTAATTCCTCCAGCTCTGCTCTGCTTCAGGACTGCTGTGGCTTTTCTTAGCTCTTTGCCAGGTCTGTCAATCTCACCAAAATACGTGTTGAGATTATTTTTAAATTGAGATTACATTAAAATTATGAATAAATTTGATGAGAATTATCAGGTCTATAATAGTGGGTCTTTCAAATAAAATATCCCTTTCAGATCTTTAATTTTTCTCAATAATAATGTTTTGTAGGGGTTTTTATTTATTTTTTTTTTAGGTCTTATTCATCATTTGATTCATTCCAAGAAATTTGATGTCTTTTATGCCATTTCAATAGATTTTTTAAATTCTATTTTCTGTTTGTTACTAGTATTTAGAAATACAATGCTTTTTTGTATACTGATCTTGTATCCAGTGATCTTGTTAAATTCATTTATTAATTTTTGTATATATTCTTTTGGATTTTTTATATATACAATCATAATACAGTATCTACAACTGACAATATATTTGTTGCTTTCTTTCCAATAACTATGCCTCTTATTAACTTTCTTTGCTTTGGAGCCCACTTCTCAACTACTATGCTACAATCCAAATTGCTATGCAGAACATGAGTTCTCTATAGAACCATCTTTCCTCCCACGCCCAATAATTCCTAGGCTTCTACAGCAGGTATTCTTTACTTGTGTTCATTATCAAATTAGGAAGTCTTTCTGCCCCAAAGAACAGAAAACCCAACTATAGTGGCATGAAAAAATAAAGTTACTGTTTGTTTGTTTGTTTGCCTAAGGAGTCACCTACAGAAAAGTCTAAATAAATGGCTGCTGCAGCTCCAAATATCACATCTCCATTCAAGGCAGGAAGAAATGGGAAGGGGCAAGGACAATTTCACTCCCTTCATAGGGCTTCAATTTCTCTATCTGAAACCATAAAAGAATTGGATCAGATGGCCTCTCATGTTCAACCCAACTCAATTCTTTTTAGAACCCACCCCATGAGAGTGTGCTAAGGGAATGTCCACTGGGCCCTCGGTATTTGTCCCTCACTATTTGTCAGGTCAGATCCTGAGTACCTAGGAGGAGGTCCTAATATTATCTCCATATTAAAGGTGAAGAAACTGTAAGTCAAAAGGGTAAAGCAACCTGCCTGACAGACGGCACAGCTCAGTGGATCCAGGATTTGAACCCATGACTGACCCCATCCCAGGCTATGGATCACCATAACATGTGGCCTCTACCAATACTGGTGTCACACTCTCTGAGAATGGGGCCTCTGGAACCCGCTGTGCAAAGCCTCAGCTGCAGAGAAGATGTCCTTGGTTCTGGGTGGCGTTGAAAGAGCTCCCACGTGAGGGGCAAGGCTGTCATCCACCGACCCCCCCGCCTGTGGATTGTCTGCCTCAAGATTACAATTTTCTGCTAAGCACTCATCTTTTCTCTGCTTTTCCCTATTATGGGCTTCATATTTTATGATTTCAATATAAATAATTTACCGGGAATTGTTGTTCTCTAAACTGCTCAGCTTGCTATAAAAAATCCAATTGCCCAAATCTACAGCTGAACTGAATAGAGGAAGGCCTAGTGCCCTTACCTGTAAACATGCTGAACTGAGACAGAAGGCAGCCCCCCACACCTGCCCCCATATCATTCATTCAGTGTGCATCTCAGGGCCTGCCACTTACAAGACTTATAAAATAAACCCATGTATGTGCATTCTCTTCCCATAGCCTCCAAGGGAGGCCATGTACTCATTCTAACAATTGCATCTTTTTGTGAGAACTTACGTCTTATTTCTTGAGCTGCCTCAGTTTTCCCCAAAACACTCAATCTTTGGGAGAACAAAAGAAAAAAAAAAAAAGGAGTATTCCATTTATTGGCCATTCTCTGAGGCAAAGTCAGCCAGGATCCCAAATTCTGAACTCTCCCCCACTAACTTACTGCCGCAGGTTCCTGAGGAAGAGTTGCAGAAATCCAAGCAATTCCCACCCCTTATTACCCTATTGTCTCCTATGCTAACAAGCTTGGTGGTCTATACGGGAACAGAAAGGACTCCTTTTACGCCTCCTGCCTAAGCTCTCAGCCACTGCTCCTTAAAGTCTTTAGTAAAAGGATTTTTTTCCAATCTGTCATAGATTGCTACTTCTATAAAAATACAATAAAAACGAATTACTAGAAAAAATAAGAAAAAAGACATACTAAATAAAACCCCAAATATGCTATTATTCGATGCAATGACATAAAACTACTTTTTCAAATCGCTGTACACTTTCTAAACACTCAGTTTCAACTTTTACCTTATCGCAGACCAATTTCAAACAGTTTATAGACCAGCCCGGGGCGGGGCCGGGACTGAACACGCCCGCCAGGCCGCCCCAAGCGCGCCCACGCGCCCCACGCGGCCCACGCGCCCACGCGCCCCACGCGCCCACGCGCCCACGCGCCACGCGCCCCACGGCCACGGCCCACGCCGCCCTGGGCGAGGGCGGCGCAGCGCGGCCCGGCCCGGCCGCTTCGGTCCTCGCGGCCTCAGCCCGGGGGCGGCCGACACGGCCCGCTTCCCCGGCCCCGCGGCACCCTTCCTCCCGCCGTCCCTCGGGCGGGCCGCCCCCATCCGACGCCGGGGAGCGCAGCGCGACCCGACACCGCGGGGAAGGGCCCGCCGCAGGGCGCCCGCCCCCCAGTCCCGGCCCTGCGCCCGCCGCGGGCGCCCCTCACGCGACACGCCAGCAAACGGTGTCACGACTCCCCGCCACAGAGGGGGACGACCCCGCAGGCCGCGCAGCTGCAAGACAGCTGGAATCCCGAGGGAGGCTGGTCGCGCTCCGAGGCGCGTCCCTCCTCCCGCTCGTCTCCGGGCGGACCCAGCCGCGTCGGGGAAGACGAGCTCGAGCTCCCTCTAGCGGCGACGCTGTGCGACCCACAGTCCCCTCCGAACGGCGCGCGGTGCCGCGCGCGGGCCGCACTTCCCCTGCCCGCCTCCAGATGGCAGTGGAGGGCAGGCCAGCGCGGAGCCCTACACGCAGCCTTTTTTTTTCAACCGTAAAGATCATATATTGATGTGCGTTTAGGAATTACAATGTGGACCTCACAGTCCGTGAGTGTTGCTAAGGCATTTCATTGGCAGCATTCGTTTGCCTCCCTAGGTCCTGCAATCTTGACATTTTAAGGTGGGGGCTACAGAGTGAACTCAAAATAACTGATGGAATGAGTTAGTATTTTATCAAAAGCATTGGCTGGAGGATTCACCCATCTGGCCTCAGCAATCTGGCCTCCTAGACAACTGCAGAAGTAAATAAAACCAAATAAGAAAACGAGAAAACAACTGCCACTATTTATTGAGCTCCATATGGTAAGCACCATAATAAATATATATATATATACCTAAAATCCATACGCTATTCCTTTTCAGTCTTTGAAGTTCCTTTGCAGTTCTTCAGTGAAAAGGAAATTTTCATTCTTTGAGAGAGTGATTTTTCACAAGACCCTAAAGTCATTTCAGTACAGGGCAGATGAAAAAGGTGGGTGATGGACTGAATCATGGCTGTGTTTATGTAAAAATGAAATGATGACTACTGAGTCATGAGACCAGTTTCCTAGGTGCCTCAGAAACTAGCTCTTCCTACTGACTGCTAAGAAGAAGGCCCTGGAAGATTTTGAACAGTGGCAGCCCTCCAAAAGAATATTTGTGGTTAAGGCGATTTTTTTTTTCTTTTCAAAAAAGCAGCATTTGCACTTGCAAAGGCCATTTATCTTTGCAAATGGCCTTTGAATTGCAAAGGCCATTTATCTTTACATAGAAAGTAGAAAACAAAAAAGATTTAAAAACATCGATTATTTGTAATCTATTATTATCTTTGTTGTTTCCAAGTTTATTGCTATTAAAATTATGCTGCAATGAATGTTTTTGTATTGATTTTTATACACCCCTGATTATTTCATTAGTATAATTTCTAGAAATAGAGTTTCTGGGTCAGAGTGCATGTATATGTTTAAAACTTTCAAAATTCATTGCCCAGTTAGTGCAAAATGTTATCTTATTTTTAAGTGAATGTTTTGATTATTAATAAGATGGAATTTTTATATGTTGTTATTTGTTTTTATTACTTTATACTTACCTATTCATGACTTTTGCTTATTTTCATATTGAAGTATTTATCTTTTTAATTTTTTTTTTTTTGAGACAGAGTCTCGCTTTGTTGCCCAGGCTAGAGTGAGTGCCATGGCGTCAGCCTAACTCACAGCAACCTCAAACTCCTGGGCTCAAGCAATCCTGCTGCCTCAGCCTCCCAAGTAGCTGGGACTAAAGGCATGCGCCACCATGCCCAGCTAATTTTTTCTATATATATTAGTTGGCCAATTAAATTCTTTCTATTTATAGTAGAGACAGGGTCTTGCTCTTGCTCAGGCTGGTTTCAAACTCCTGACCTCGAGCAATCCGCCTGCCTTGGCCTCCCAGAGTGCTAGGATTACAGGCGTGAGCCACTGCGCCCGGCCTCTTTTTAATTTTTGTGTGTGTGAAGACTGCTTATATGCTAAAAAAGATAACCCTTTGTATGTTACATACTTTGCTTTCCCTGGTTTGTCATTTGCTTTTCAAACTTTGTTTTTTAATTACATTTTTTTTTTACTTTCATGTAGTCAGATATGTAGATCTTTTTCTATGGATCTGTCTTTGCTCGTATACTTTAAAAGCCCTTTCCCACGAGGTGATAAATATTTACATGTTTTGGGGATATATTGTATAAAAACTGATATTGTTGTTTTTAAAGTCTCAGTGCTTTATAGCCACACTTTCAAAGTTATTCATTTAATCTACTTTTATTCAACCAACATCTGATAAGTACCTCTATTTCCCAGGCTCCATGCCAATAGCTGCAGAGATGAATATTTTAAGGGCTTATAGATCAACCTGACCCTGTTCCATTTCGGCCAAGGCAAGACTTGGCAACCCAGGAAGCCACAGGAGGAGGAAAAATATGGTGTAGCTCTCTTTCTCCGTCTCCTCTCCTTGACCTCAGCATATCCTGTAGCGTTGGTGCTGCCAGGTCTCCTCTCCTTTTCACTCTTCCCAAGCCCCTGAGTGATCCCCTCCAGCGACTATAGGTGTGTGAGGACCCCCACCTAGATCACCCCTGAGCATCAGAGCTACACACGCTACCTTCATCTCTACCCGTGGATCCCTGGGCACCTCAAACTCAAGATATCCCAAATAGAGCTCACTGCCTCATCCCCAACCTCACCTCCCTGCTTCAGTTTGCTAAATGCCCCCACTGCCTACCTGAGGGTCCGACCAGCAACCTGGTGGCCACTCTTCATTCCTAGCCTGGCTCTCAACGTCTATATCTAATCAATCACCAAACCTTGACAATTCTACCTTCTCGGATAATTCGCGTCCAGCCTCTTCTTTCCAAACCCACTGCCACGACCTTGCTCTGGGCCTCACTCGTCTCGCACCTGGGTTACTGCCCCAGCCTCCTGACCTATTCCACACTTCCCGTGGGATTCCTCACAACCTGTCTTCCACACAGCAGCAAGGTGAGCTTTCCAAAGAGCGCCTGCAGCTATAGCATGTCCCTCGAGCCCCTTCAGCTGGTCCTCGTGGGCTTCAGGGGAAAGTCCATGCTCTGTAGCCTGCGGGCCCCTTACGAAGGCACCCTGCCGGCTCTCTGGATTCATCTCTCTCAATCCTCATTCCAACCACAGAAGGTCACTTCCACCATTCCAACCACAGAGGATGTCACTTCCTCCAGCAAGCCTTACTTGAAATCCACTCTCGTTGCACTGACTTGATTAAGTACCCTCCTCTCTACCCCGCAGTCTCCCTTCTTACTTAACTTGAATACTATGCCACAATTGCCGGTTCACTTGTTTGACTTCCTGTCTACCCTGTGGCATAGCTACATGGGTTATACATTGCTCAACTCAAAAGAGATATAATGAATGCCCCTAGAGTTACGCAGTGTACAGCCTACACCACCATACCTGGAAGCCTATGACCCCCTTGGGGAACAAGAGGATATCTTATTCATTCTTGTATAACACATGTGCTCAGAAAATATTTGTTGGAAAATATTTGTTGAATACATGGGTGGATGGATAGATAGATACAGACAGAATTTGCTCCTTGGTGTCCCTGTCTGCCAGCCAGTGAGAGTGCAATCATTCATTGTCTTTGTCATTTCCCATCTGCTCGTCTTTAACCAACTCACCACGTCACCTGTCTTTCAAGCAAATGCCTTATTTCTGGGAGTTAGACTTTATATTTCCTAAAATTAAGATTCATTTCTCTCTCTCTCTCTCTCTCTCTCTCTCTTCTATGCCCTAGGAAACACAGCAGAGAGTCTGCTTAGCTTTTCATGACGTCAAAGATGAAAACCCATGTAATCCCAGGTGAGCAGTCATTTCTGATTAACCTTCAGGAAACTTTTAGAAGTTGGGGCTTCAAGGAAAGAGAAATCAGGCTCATGCTTGTAATCCTAGCATTTTGGAAGGCCGAGGCGGGAGGATCTCTAGAGCCCAGAAGTTTGATGCAGTGAGCTATGATGTTGCCACTGCACTCTTGCCTGGGTGAGAGAGCGAGACTCTGTCTCAAAATAACAAAAAGGGTCTCGCTGGGATTACAGTTTAGAAGATTTAAAGAGAAGCAGCTTAAACCTTCCTTCCTTTCCCTTCCTCCCTTTGTGTTCACTGTTTGAAGAGAAATTGCATTTGGAAAATTACAGAGTATTTTTTTTCTGCATCCTAGAGAGAAATAAAAAGATCTCACAAGAATTATAACCAGGGGTTTGTGCCTAGGAAACATTTGAAGGTGTACCATGCAAATACGCCAAGTGAAGGAAGCCAGACTCAAAAGGCCAAACATCATATGATTCCAATCATATGACATTCTAGCAAAGGCAAAACTATAAGGTCAAAACAGAAAACAGATTAGCAATTTTTAGGGGTTAAGGGGTTGGGGAATTTGAGAGGAAGACAGAGCTGTTCTGTCTTGATTGTGGTGGTAGTTACCCAACTATACACATTTGTCAAGACTTGCAGAACCGAACATTAGAAAGATTGCATTTTCCTGTATGTAAATTACGCTTTAATTTTAAAAACAAAAAAGTCATACTGTGCAGAAATCATTAACAACAACGTGAATGTGAAGAGTGCAACAAGTAATATACAGTAAATTCAGTTCTGTTCATTTCTATTTGTTTTGTACCTCTAGAAATCCACTGAGAACATCATTTTTTCTCACTCTTTTCATTGTTCTCGCTTTATCCCCTCATTTCTCTCAAACTGAAACAGAAGTGGGTTTGAAATTTGCTTTGCCACTTCCCAGAAAATGAGTCATGGACAAATCACTGAGCCTCATTTAGCCTCCATTGCTGGGTTCTCTTCTCTGTACACTGGGGACAATCATTTCTGTGTCTCGGAGATGTTCTGTGAATGCTGAGAAAGAAAACGGGCGTGACGGCGGGCGGCGCCCCTGAGAGCTGCAGGTGTGGTGCAGCCGCCCCAGCCACCCATCCGTCCACCCGTGCTCCACGGATCACTTGGAGACCGAAAACTAGAAAGGACTAGGAAACTCACTTTATTAAACATCTACTGGTACTGTATCAACTGTTTTCATTCAGAGTTTCTCATTTAAACCTTTCAACCCTAGAAAGATGTTAATGTTGCACAGCCAGGAAAAGCATTCAACAGGATGCAATTTTTTCTGAGTCTACTCACTCCTTCCCCGGGTATCAGAAATAATTTTGATTTTTGAACATTATCTCATTCGGCCCTCACAAGTGGGGTACACACAGTGGGGTACCTTGTGAGGTATACAGTCGTATCCCCATTTTATAGATGTGTAAACTGAGGGGTTGTCCCTTGCCCAAGGACACATGAAGCTAGTAAGTGACTGAATTCTACAGCTCCAGTCCAGTCTTGTCACTGCTAACTGGTTGAGGTCAAGTTGCCAAGCATGGCACGTACCCTCTTTTGCCAAGCCATGCCCGGGCTGTGTGTGATACAGCATAACGTCAGCACACAGGGGAGGAGGTGCTGTCACTACCCTGAGGGGTGGGAGAGGCTGCAAAGCATCCTGAGGCGGGGGTGGGAGTATTAATTGAACCCATGGGTTCAAGTCCAGCCTGTGTAACACAGTGACACCCTGTCTCCAAAAGTAAATACATGCATGCATGCATACATACAAAAATCCTGGCAGGTAAAGAATCTTCATAGCATGTGGCTTTTTCCAGTATTTAGAGTGTGACCTTGACCTGTTACTTCTACCTTCTGAACCTCAGTTCCCTCCTCTATTAAATGAGGTTTGCTACACATGCCTGTGAGAGCTTCAGTGGGTATTTAATGGGATATGTATGCAAAAGAACCTAGCACAAGAATGATGCATAGTAGATGCTCAATAAAAGGTAATATTTCTCTCCCTTCCTTTTCACAATACCTGCCTTCCCAAGGCTCAATCCACCTGTGAGCAGGTGGTCACGATGTTTATGTCTCATTTACATGCAATGGGAGTCTCATTTCAATAGTACTTATTTAGGCAATTGGAATGGAATGGAATCACCTTAGCACCTGCCCATGCTCCAGTCAGAGGCTGGGAAGAAGAAATCTAAAGAGGATAACATGTGGATGTTGGGTCCTCAGATCAAGATTCCTACCTCCAGCTTAGGATTAGAAGTGTCCTCGGATGTATTTAATGAAAGGGGAATTGTTGGCATGGTCACCTGTGCCCTGGCCAATGCAGCCGGACAGGCACTGAGCAATCTCGGGCACATTACTCCCAAAGAGTTTTGTTGGGTGCTGTGGAAAGAAGTCCTCACTCCTCACCAGCAAGAGGGGACAACAGAACCCTTAAAATGGAGACTGGGGAACCCCTAGACACTGACTTCTTTCCCAAATGCTCCTGGTGGCAGGTGAGGACAGCACCCATGCAGGTAGAAGCTGGCTGGGGAGCTGACGCTGGCTGAGCTCCTGCCACGTGATTTATACACAAATCCACAAACTCTCTACCTCCTCGTGCCCTCTCTCTATCTCTGTCCTCCACTCCGGTACAGAGAATCACTCTGTAGTTTTGAGGACAAAAGGACTTGGTCTGCGCCCTCAAATATTTCTCCTAGATGTGTTGAATATGCCCTGAGTTCTTGTCATTCCCTGGAAAGTCTAGGCTTTTGAAACTCAAAAGCCAGAAGCAGCGCCCTTTGCTCTGCCAACACATCCTTCCCTGGGATAATTGGTCCCAGAACAATCTAGCACAGTCTAGGTGGTTCCTAGTGCAGCACCAACTGCAGCACCCGGGAACTCCTTACAAATGCAAGTCCTCAGAGCCCACCTAAGACCTACTGAGTTGGGAGCCGAGGGAGTGAGCTTGAGCGACTTACTTTAACCAGAGCTCCAGGGGATTCTGACTTGAGATACACTTTGAACACTACTGCCTAGCTGACGACTGAGTGGGCAGGTGAGGTGGGTTTCGAAAGGGTCAAGGACAAATTGAAAATACTAACGCTAACAAAACAGTTATTTTAAATATATTTCCTGTTGTAATAGTGACGAAGACTGTAATATATTTTATTAGCTAACATATTTGACTGCTTACTGTGTATCATGCATTAAACCAAGTGATTTACTTCCAATCATCAAGACACGTCCTAATCTCCCTTTTCCAGGTGAGGAAATTTAGCTTTGGAGAGATTAGGAATTATTAGGAATTTCCCTTTGGTTACACAGGAAGTAGTGGAGCCAATAGTGCAATCTCATAAATCTGATTCAAGAACTCCATTTTAGCACTAACTTTTAAAAAATCATGTTACAAAACATTCGATATTATGGAAAGTAATGTTATAGGTGATTTTTATTTTTTCTTTATATTTTTCTACATTTTCCAAATCTTTCCATAAACAAGTATTGCTTTTTAATCAGAAAAATATTCCTATTTTTTAAGAAAGCCAACCTGTATGTTAGGGTCCCATATTGGTAAAACAAAATGTATGAAGCATATAATGTATATAAACGAATGTATTTTACATAAATATATTAAGTATATCCATAGTCACATATTCAAAGAAAAAGATTAGAAAGGCTCACCATCAAAGTGTTAGCAATGACTATTTCCATGTGCAGGGCTCCAAATAGTTGTGATTTTCTTCTATTTGCTGTTCAGTATTCTTGTACAAGAAGCACACATTATTTTTGTAACCAGAAAAAATTTTTTTAATAATCTCAGCCTTTCTGACTCCAACATCAGGATTCTCATAGAAAACTGCCAGTGGTTTTTTTAAAGCCCTTTTTTCTAGTTGTTTTTTGTTTTTTTTTCTCCAATAAGCCAGTCTTGTTTTTCTGTCACATGTGAGTAACCACTCATCCCGTTCCACATCCCCCAAGCAGTCAAACCTTCTATTGAGAGACCTCCTGCAAAGCTGCCAGATGATATCTCTGGTTCAGATTCTGCCTGCAAACATGTTGTTCTAAATAAAGACTAGAAACACACTCTGCCTTTCAGTAGATAATAGTTGAGCTCTCTAATTGTGATACTCTCCTCTTGGAAGTATCGCCTATGTGTATGAAAGCAATGTTCCCTTCCCGGCTTCTTAAAGGATTGTGGGATCACACAGAGCTAGGTTCATATCTGTTCTAGTTCCATTTCTTATTAAATCTATTGACCTTAGGCAAAATTTCTCTACTCTTCTGAGCTTTAGCTTCCTCCTTTCTAAAATTAGAGAAAGTAACAAATGCCTTTCAGGGTTGTTATGAGAAGCCAACAAGAAAATATATGGGAAATTTCTTAAAGTGCCTGGCACATAGTTGCTCTCAATATTAGTTTCCTTCTTTCTTGAAGGATTATATCTTGATTCTGCCAGTTGCTAACAGTGAGCTAGTTACTCAGCCCTTTTCAGCCTCAGTTTCCTCATCGGTGAAATGAGGAGAATGCTATGTTTCACCTTCATGCTGATGTCGTGAACACAGAGACGGACAGCCCAGATGCCTCTTCAGGAAGGGCCTTGTCACCCAGCTGTCAGCATTCCTGCGGGGGCAGCTTTGGGGCATGCCTTCATCCAAAGCCTGACCGCGCGGCAGGGATCCAGCTCGCGGCTCTGATGGGTTTGGCGATGCTTTGTCAAGCCTGCATCATGGTTCAGCTTCTCCATCTGCCCAGTTCGTCTTTTTCCCTGTCCCTTACCAAGGAAGACCCATCACTAATGGCAGGTTGGGCACAGACAGCCCCGGCACAAGGGGACGATGGCCCAATTGTTAACATGCCCCCCTGAGGTGGACCGGGTGGTGTACCCCGGCGGAAGGGAAGGGCGTGCTGGCGTTTGAGAAGTACGAGCAAGTAGCAGCTGTTAGAAAGATGGGATTGGATGGAGGATTCGTTTTCTGGGGCTGCTATAACAAATTACCATAAATTTGGCAGCTTAAAACCACAGAAATATGTTCCAGAGGCCAGAAGGCCCAAATCAAGGTGTCAGCAGGTTTGGTTCCTCTGAGGTTCTGAGGGAGAACCTGTTCTGGGCCTCTCCTCACGGCTGCGGCAACCCTGGGGGCTTCAGCCTCCAATCTTTGGCACCTGTCTTCACATGATTTTCCTCTCTGTGTGCCTCTGTGTCTCAAATCTCCCTCCCCTTTCTTTGAAAAGGACACCCAGTCATTGGATTTAGGGCACACTCTAAATCCAGGATGACCGATTTCAAGATCTTTAACTTAATTACCTTTGCAAAAGCCCTATTTCCAAGTAAGGTCACACACTGAGGTGTTGGATAGACATATTGCTTGGGGGTCACAGTTCAACCCACTACAGATGGTTACTGCATAATACCATTGATGCCTTAGGGAGAGATCATGAAAAGCTGCTAGTGTTAGGGACCGGCTTCCTGCACCCCGCCAGGCAGACGAACAAAGACACCAAGGATGCAATCACTCAAGAGGAGCTTTATTTTCTGGCTAGCCAGGGTCCAGGCCCTAGAGTGCCAGCGCAGTGGTCGCTCTTACAGGCAAGGACCCTGACCAAAGCTGGGGCTGCCCTTTTATCCCCCCTCCCTCTTGAACACCCGCGCTGCACAAGCTGATTGTGCGTGTTAGTCTTTAAAATGATCGGTGGACTGGTAGCCCGCCGGCGGCAAGGGGCCTTTCTCCCTTATCTGGCACCGTACCTATGCGTCTCGCTGCAAGCAAGCGATTCTCAGAAGCAGAAATATGCGTTTAGCCGATAGCTCTACCTTTGGGCCCCAAGCTAGCAGTTTCCAGAAGCCGATTACTCCTCCCCTGGGCCAATTTTCTGTTATCCGGGCCCGCACAAGTGAGCCAGCAGCTTTGGGCTGCAACCAGGCCCTTACGCTAGATCAATAGGAAATTAAAAGCCATAAGGGGCTCGGTGCAGTCGCTCATACCTTTAATCCCACCACTTTGGGAGGCTGAGGTGGGAGGATCACTAGAGGCCAAGAGTTCAAGACTAGCCTGAGCAACATATTGAGACTCCCATCTCTATAAAAAGTATAAAAAATTAGTCGGGGGTGGGTGGCATGTACCTGTAGTCCCACCTACTGGGGGGGGGCTGAGCAGGAGGATCACTTGAGCCCAGGAATTCAAGGCTGCAGTGAGCTATGATGATGCCACTGCACTATAGCCTGGGTGACAGAGTAAGACCCTATCTCTCTT